AATAAATTGAAAATTTTAAGAATTATTAGAAATGGGGTAGTGATTATGATAAAAAATAAATTATTAGATTTTTAAGTTTTGAGTTTTACTTCTTATTTATTTCATATACTAGTTAATATTATCCTAATGCAAAAGAAAATATTATTTGGTATTTAATGATTTTTATTAAATATTTAGATTTTTGCAGATACTACTTTAAATGTATTATTAATTTTTTTAGTCAACATATTATTAAAATAATATAATAAATTTTAAAAAAATGGTAACATCAAACACATTCGTAAGAAAATAAAGCAATAATACCTAAAATATGATAATCTAAAAATTAAAAGTCAATCTAGTTTAACAAATTTAATTTAGAGTTCAACAAATTTAAATGTCGAGCAAAAATTTACCATAAATTTTACTTATTCATTGTTTTAAAAAAATATATTAAAGGGAGAAACGAAAGAGGGGATGTAGAGTAGAGAGAGTAGACTTAGGAGGGATTTGTTTTTTGTATGTAGAGAGAGGAGAGAAAAGAAAAAAAAAAAATGGTTAGTGTTTGGATTTTTAGCTTTTAGACTTTTTCAAAGCTGATAGGTAGATTTTTTTTTTTAAGCTGAGTAGGTAGATGATTTATGTCAATGAAATGATACACAATTGGACAAAGATTTTGTAACAAAATGATTACTTTACTATTCGTTAAGAGAAATTATTGTTTATTTAATTTAATTTAAGTTTTGATGTTGTGTTTGTGGCTAGTTAATCTAGGTAAGAGTTGAAAGTGAAAAGTTGTGCCAAGTACCAACCAACTCTATGTTACTCTTCACCACAGCAATCAGAATGAGTGATTGGTGCAAAACTGTGAAACCCTTTCCACAGTTGAAAGCCAAAGCTAAACCAGAATTAGTTCACCAAAAGGGTTAGATTCAAATAATTTAACCCCATGAATGGGAGAGTCAATCTCAAGCAATGACCTCAGTGTGTAGTTTTTTGTAGTTTTTGTTCTATTGTTAACATGAACCTTTGATCTCAGATCAATTAAGGAATGTATTGTTTACTGTCGGCCAATTCCCACAGGGAGGAAACGTCATGTTCCTAGGAAGAGTAAAGGAAAAAGTAAGTAGCAAAAAGTAGTAGTAGAGTAAGTAGTAGCAGTAGCAAAAAAAACAAAAAAAAAAAAAGGAGAAAGGGGGTTTAGGTTTTGGTGTTTTGTGGTTTTTTTTATTATTTATTGTTTTTTAAACACAATTAGTACGAGCAGAGGAATGATGTTGTGGTAGAGGTTTTGGAAAACTCCCTGACTTACATTGTTTAGGTAGGGCATCTAAATGTGGCAATGGGGGAACCCTTCCCCTTGGACCATTAATTCCAGATGGGGGGTATTTTTTCAGGACAATAATTAAATGGGAATGTTGTCAAATTTTCATGGGTGGATATGCTGTAAAGATTCTTCTAGGAGGAAAGAGTAAGTTAACATGTTGCCTCACACCATTTTTTGTTCAAAGGGGTTTTTTTAATAATGAATAAAATTAATAAAAAGGAGTTGATTTGAGTGAAAGTTAGTTAGTTATGGTTTTTAAATAAAAAATTTTTTGTTTTTATTATTTGTTATTAAAAAGGAGTTGGTGAGGTTTCAAATTTTGGTTCACTTCACTACTAGAAGTGTAGGGTATATATGAAGGATGGTTCTAGAAATTCTAGAAAAGCACAAGAGAAAGAAAAGAAACATTTCATTGAGTTTGTTTTTCCTTTTCAAATTTGGTGGTGGATGTTTAATTTGAGAAGTTTGAGAAAGAGAAGAGAGAGGAGAAGAGAAGAAAGGGAAAGGGTTTGGGGGGGTAAGAAAGGGAAGAGAAAGGGAAAGGGTTGGGACTTGTTTTTTTTGTTCTTTTTTTTTTTTTTTTTTTGTTTTGGTTTGGTGTTGTTTGTGTGTACTTAGCCTATAATTAGGTTTGAAGGAAAGGAAACAGCAAAAACAAATCAAGCATTTTTTGTTTTTAACGGCTTTCTTGAGAGCAGTTAGTTTTTAAAGATCAGTTAAAGCAAAGTCTTACTGGGTTTCCTAAATTCTTGACAATCTTTTTGTTGAGTAATCTTTTTCCTTTCAAATGAATTTGTCTATATTAAATGCTACAGCACGTCATTGTCACATCCAAAAAATTCCCTGTTATGTCGATCTCTCATGACACTTCCTCTTATTTGGTAAAATTTTGCAGATGAAATTGAAACATGAATTACTTATTCACCAGCTTTTTCTTTCTCGAAATTTATTTAATTCATATAAAAATTTTATAACCTAGGGCAAATAAATGCTTGTTATATGGAACAGATTTTCTCAGAGTTTCTGGCCAATCTTCAAAATTTTTTATGTGAAAATCACAGGTGAATTATTAAGTACTACTTAAATACGAGAAGAAAGGAAAAGGTCATAAGATTTTTGCCAATGTTTTTATGCTTATTTCTCAGTGTCTTTGACAGGTTTTGTATAAAAAAGTTATTCTCACTTGAACCATCATAATTATAAATAGCAGAATATATAAACTGACTATATCAGTCGCTTCTTGTAAATTGAAATGAGTTTCTTTATTGATAGCGTTGGAATGGTAGTTTGTTATAAAAAAAATGCCAACTGAAAAGAAATAAAATAATAACCTTAAGATAATATATAAGTTAGTCCCTTACGATAAAATATTGACTCTGGCTAGTGTATTTCCTACTAATCCTAAATCTGGTTTATAAATAAGGTTATTGTGTAATGTTTTTAATTGAATTTAAAAAAAAACACAGTTTGGCAGTATATTATATTAATAAGTGTTCTTTGCCAAATGAAAAACATGAGTCATAAATTGATGAGGGATGCAAGGTCCATTTTCTTATGAATGAAATTCTCACTTCCAAAAAAGAAGAGAGATGGCATGTCATCTACGGCCCATTTCCATGGAACACACTGAGAATACGTCTCAACAAGCACGTAGCAAACATACAGAAAACGAGGTCTCTTACCGTTACATTATCGTACCAAAAAGATTAGCAATGGTTTCAGAAAGGTGATGAAATGTGAATATATATATGAATAATCGGTACAGAAACATCTTTCATATAGGTAATAGATCATAAAGTACAACAGAATCAGATCCCTCTCACACACACTTGCTTCTTTAGTATTAGGCTATTTCATAAGTAACATTCAGCAATTCATGCATTCAGCTTAATAACTCCCTAGTTAGAAGATGAAAACTTAGAAGAATTAAAAGATGTGAAAAACTACAGTGCAGAGCACAGTTTTTATAGGTAAAAAAAAAAAAGGGGGAGTGTGGAGGATTGGTATATAAAATTTTAAAATAAAAAAATGTGGTAAGGAAGAGAACATTTTACACTAGCAGAATATGCTATACAAATAAAAAAAGATTATTGTCAAAAGCATTTTCTGCAAGTTAATCCTTACTTAATTTAAAAAGAGAAGGTGTGGAAGTGGGGAAAGAGGGTAAATGGAAGGTTGTGGGTGGGTGGTTGGAAAAAAGAAAGAAAAAGGAAAAAAGGGAAGAAAATTAAAAAAAAATGTAAAAAGGCAGGGGTGTTTTAAAAAGTAAGCAATTAGTTGATTGACATTGGGAAGAGAAGTGTGACAAAATTATGAGCAATTCAAGTAGGCAAATTTTTTCTTATTTTATATTATTTAACTTGTGAACTGAAATTTTCCCCCCCCACTTCATGACTCTACTAAAAAAAATACAAAAATCTATAGGACCTTCGACAGCCCACAAAGTTTATTTTCCTACATTTCAGTTTGTCACAAACGGGATGAGAAAAACAAACATGGGCGATGGATACCCAAACATATTGTTTAATTGGGCGCTCCCCCAGCTTTCTTTATAAAAAATGAGACATCATTCAACTACATTGACCAAAAAAAGAATACGGAAAAGTGATTAGGAAAAAAAGAAAAGAAAAGAATACCATAACATGGATGGAACCTCTTTAACAGTCAATTCATCCTACATTACTGAAGAGATGCCAATAGACTCAACTAGAATTGTTATAGAAATTAGTTTATTAGAAACAACCCCAAAAATATTATCAATTGGAGTTGTATTTTTTTGGTTTGTAAGTTGTCACAAAAACAATTTAAAAAGGACGATAGATATGATTTTATATATATGATTGTTATATAGGTACAGTAGGAAACCATAATCCATAATAAGCATCCTCACCATCAAAAGATATGAACCAGTTCAAATCAAAGAGATTAAAACATTGTTTCTTGCTAACTTTGCCACAAATCATGGTTGAAAGCAAATAAAGCCAACAATTTTCTTTTTATTTCATACAGGAAATTCATCAGCCAAAACACAAAAGAAAAATAAAGAAACCAAAATGAGAAACTGCACCGAAAATAAATTTTTTCACATGAGAACAACAGACAGTTCATACAGGGTATTGACAAAAATAAGAAAAAAAATTGGATTTTTCAATCCATGTGGATGATGCATGGTCTCATGGATGAGAAAAAAATACCATTCCCGTAGGATCTATGTCAAGGCTACAGGAACGGATGGATTACCCTGGGTGTTTGGATTAAAATCCTTGAAACCGATAGAAGAGAAAATTGAATTTCTTTGTACAGTGAGAGGCAGCCAAACAAAAGTTATAATCTAGATACAGTTGTCTGGAATGGAATAATGCTAAAATACTTTTCATTCCATAACTGCATTTAAATATTTTTTTTTATCATTTACTAGTATGAAATTAAGAACTAGGACGTGGAAAAAATGAAGGGCTCTTGAAACAACTAGTGTAACAAATAATTACAAGCAACACTAAAACTAAAAATATGGAAAGTGTCTATTTGCGCGGGTTTTACCTTTTAAACCCGATACTATGCCTCAATGCCTGGAAAAGACAATAAGCCTAGGCAGCGATGAAGTGCAAAAACAGATAAGTTTAAAGAAGACCACGATTAACCAAAAAGGAAGTTTATCAAAGTAAAATTATGCAAGTAATCAAATTTGTTAAACCAAGCATTCCCTCCCAATCCTTTGATACTGAATCTAGTTTCTTTCCTATAATCATTGAGATCAACAAAGCATGCTGTGTTTTTATAATTAAAAGGCCAGAAGTGCAAAGTCAATGAAAAACTAATACCAAAGCCACCAAGCCAGGAGTTTAGTATTCAAAAGTAAAAGCAATTTCTTGAACTACTGAGGATAAGATGTTCGATGATAGCGCTGATGACCATAACCACCATAGGCAGAGACACTATCATGATAACCAGACGGCATAAGTGGCTCTGATGAATTTGGAAGAGAACCACGTTGACCGAGGTTACCACTGGAACCCATTGGGACATCATCAAGACCATAAGGCCCAGTTGCAGCGCCTGTATAAGGCAAGATGGTTGGGGTTGGAGCCTTCATGCCATATGACATGGTTGGCAAGTTAATGTAGGGAATTCGATGTTCCAGCAACAAACCTGGTGACTGGAAACGAGGTTGTTGATCAGGCAACAAACCTGATGACTGAAAATGAGGTTGTTGTTCCAACAACAAACCTGGTGAATGGAAAAAAGGTCGTTGCTCCGGCAACAAACCTGATGACTGGAAATGAGGATGTTTGTAGTGGTGAGCAGTTGAACTAGCACCACCGACACTATTCAGGACAGCTGCAGAACCAATGGGGGCAGAAATTCGAGGACGCTTGATCCCACTTTGTTGCTGCTGATGAGAGGGGGGCCTTGCAGAAAAAGCCGATGCAGCATATTTTAAATTTGCCTTTTGCTTCGTCAATTGTTCTAAACGCTGTTGAAGGCTTTCAGGTGGATATTGCGATTGAAGATTATGACTTTCAATAACCTTGATTGCCGATTTCAGAGCATGGACTTCTCTGGCTGTGATTTCATTCTGCAAAAACACACAAATAAATACAGGCAGTGACACCGTACACCAGGTAAACAATCATGGGGAGAATACTTACTAGTGACTTCCCTTCCTCAGAAAGTTTTTTAGCAAGTTTCTGAGATTCATTCACGTGAGCTTTCAAAATGGGAATCGGTGGAATCTTATCCGCAAGATTGAACTCAAAATATATTTGACAAGCCCGAATATGTCTTGCCAACCTGTCAACAAGTTTCTGAATAAGACCTGCAAAAACACCCAAAACAAAATTTCCCTCACAAATTAAACCTCCAAAAAGGGTAACATTAGAAATCAAATAATGGCAGCATCACCAATTCAACTTACAACATTACACTACTTAAAAAAAAATCCAAATCCAAGACCACATAACGTAAGCACTAGTGACTACTGGTGTTTTCAGCCACTGAAAATGGGTTATCTTTAGGTTTAGTTCCCAACTTATTTTAGATCAAGAATCAGACCCATAGGTATCCTAACAGCCAGAAACCATAGGACTAATTCCCTAAGGATCAGATTTGAGTTAGGGGCCAGCTCCTAAACCCACAGGTTGCACTATTCGCATAGTTAACCACTGAAACCCTTTCTTATGCTCAAAAGGTCCAAACAACTATTTGTGTCAACCTCCTCGGTAATCCCCAATATTCAAAATGATAAGTTTCCACCTTGTAATTTGTAAATACTCAACTTTAGGCCCTAAAACTTAAAACTTCGTGGGACAAAAACTTGCTGGGACTAACATTTTCAAATTTCAAAGTTACAGGAACCAAAAACAACCATAACGCTAAAAACTAGATTCACAACAACATTTACAAGCTACAAGCCTACGAAACAAACAAAACAAACACAGTTCCGTAATACCACCACCAAACTCTATCTCAGGCTAACCCAAAAAAAAAAAAAACAAAATCAAATGAAAGGGTTCCAACCTGGGACTTTCTCCGTTAAACCGATACTTCGGTAGAGCTCGGGAAGATCATCATTAGCAGCAGCCATGGCAGAGAAAGTGACAATCTCATTATCTGTCAATTCAGAGAACAACCCATAAGCCGCCACAAACTGCAAGAAAGTCATGGCCCCAACACCTTCACCACCTGCAACTGGGCAAGCTCCCCTTCCACTCCACACAACAACCTCCTTGCTCTCTTAAGCACCTTAAAACTCACATGAACGGACGCAGCCCTCAACTGCTGAAACAAGAACCCACAAGTCCGCTTCCTTTTGCGCAATTCCTTGTCATCTTTCACCACATTCGCACCCACGACACCGTCCAGTGCATCGAGAATCATCGAAGCGGGATCGGAAGCACGCTTGAGGGCAGTCTGAAGGTCAACCTCGAACGCAACCTTGTCTTTGAAATGATCCCCAACGTAGTCCCGCAACCCTTTTCCGTCCACGCTGCTGCAGAGGGCGATAATGCGTTCCGCGTGGGGTTTGGGCAATGCGACGTCGTTTTGCGATGATGGGTCGGAGCGGGAGGGTGGAAAGGTGGGATCTTTGGAGGGAGAGGAAGGTGGGTGAGTGTGCTGCTGTTGGGATTCGAGGGTCTGAAGAAGGTGAAATCGTTCAGAGAGGGAGTTGTGGAGGGAGGTGAAGTGGGAGTCGATTTGCGACCAAGAAAGAGGGAAGGAGGAGGAAGAGAGGAGAGAGGAATGGGATTGGAGATCGTCGTAGGCTTTCTTCAAATTCTCTTTCTTGGCGTCCACCAGTTGCAGAGCCGCAGAGATGGTCTTCGACGACGTTTGCATTGTTGTCGCTGTTCCTTCGTTCTCTCAGAGAGAGAAAGAGGATTATGAACAGTTTTCTATGCAAATTGAAACCACAATGACGATGAATGGTAGGCAAGTTGGTTCAGTACTTTGGTTTGTGTTCGTGAATTGTCGTGATTAGGTTGCAGAATGCAAATTACAAAATCACCTGAAATTGAAAATTTTTGTATCTTAATCTGACTGGAAAAATTGTTAATTTTGGGCCTATGGTCCTTCAATGTTTGGGCTGATTTGTTCCAATCCAGTCTCTTGAAATTCCTACAATTCCTATGTGACTTATTCGTACATGCATTCCTCTTTCAAAAAGTGCTTTTATACTAATGAAAACTTAACATTTTATTCTTGTTTTTCTTAACATAAAATTATTTATTTATCTGTAAAAAAATAATTTTAAGACTTGAGACAAATTAATTTTGTTTTTAGACTATTTCTTGTGATGAAACTTTTAGAGCAAAATAAATTAACAAAGATATGTACAAGATTGAATATTGGACCAAATTGTAAATTCTTTAAAATCTAGTGACTAAAAATTATAAATAATTACCATTATAACTTAATATATTTTTATTCATTTTTAATCAACTTTTGATATCAATTATTATTATAACTAGAGAGAAAGTTATTTTGTAGAATTAGTGGGCAAAAACCAAACATGACATGTAAATCTATTAAGTTATTCTAAACAGTACCAAACAATGACTAAAAAGACCAAACAATTATTCTCTAACCTCTATCAACAAACTATTTAAATTTATTTATATTAAACTAAATCTAATAATTTTTAATATATATATATATATATATATATATATATATATATATATATATATATTTACCTATATACTTTTTCCTTTTAGAATAAACTATATGTCTTGATTTTGTTATAGGAGGATATTATTGTTTAAGCTGTGTCATTCCTGATTAACATGCAACCGGATCATACATTGGGATACTATATTTAATTACGTGTTTAATTGCATATTAATTGGCATATTCTATATTTATTCCAACCTAAGTTTCGTGAAATAATGGAGATTTTTAAAAATATATATATATATTATATATATCTCAACAAGTCAAGGGGAAAAGTTCCCTTTAAACAAACTGAAATAAATATAAAATTAACATATCATTATTGGAATCAAATCTTGAACTTAAAGTGATTATCCACTTTTATTTTCTTTGTTTGGCAAATAGGCATGTGATAGAAGTAATTAATTACTACTATAATAGAAGCATGAGAAAGTTGTTCATCTGTCAAAGTTTGAAACTAATATGTATAGAACCGGCAATTAATTTCACATGAGGAATATCCATTCCACCATGCACGCCATGGATAAAGTCAAAACTAAATATTTTTTTAGCGTTAACTTCACTAGAAATCAAATGAAAAAAATAATAATGCTTAGTTATAATGGCTAATTTTAATGTCTATAACCTTATAAACGTTACTATTTAACAATAGTTTTTTCTTTCTAAATTTAATTGTGTTTGTGATTTAGGGGTCGAGTCAAATATTCCCCTTTGATAGAATCTTCAAACTCTAAATACAGTTAAAGTTAAAGTTAATGATAACGGGGAGAGTTACCTTCATAAGACACTCCTGATGATAAAAGTTACTTATAGGTCTGACACTGTTAGTAATAAATAGCAATGAATGTAATAATCTCCATAATACCATAAACTTGTATTTATAAATTTTGGAAGGGGTTCAGATTAGCGATGTTTAATTACAACCCAATGGTAATGATCTTGTTAGGTTTAAGATAATCAATATCACTAATGTTAACTTCAGTTTAGTTGATGCGCTCTCGACAACGCGACTGGTTTCCTTTGGGTGTCATAAACTGGTGGAAGAATCGTCCGATCGAAAATCATCCTATAAAAGCTGTATTTGAAATTTGTAACAAATTCGGTGAGAATTTGTTATGACTAAGGCTAGTGTTTTTTTTTTTAGTATGTCTATATAAGACTTTCAATTCATATTTTTCTTAGATTTTACCATAGTTTTCATAAAAAAATATTTCTCCTAATAAAGTGAACCTATATAGGTGTTTTTTATTAGGACATAAAAGACAACTATATACTATTATTGAGATTTCCTCATGAGATAACAACTACCAACACACAATCTTTAAGATTCAAGTTTAGTTTTTTTACAGGTCATTCAACAACTTCATTTCTTACTTGATTATTTGAAATTGTCCTTTTTTTTAAGTCAACTTTATCATTTTTATTTGTCGTTTTTTAACTTTATACAAAATTGAAAAATTTGAACTTGTTTTTAAACTTTAATTTCTTTTGATCTTAAATTTAAAAAATAAATTGATAGTCCTTCCAATCTAACCTAACGACATAAATTTTTTTTACATGTCACTAGTGACATTTAAATCTAAAATGTATCAACTATTATAAACTAATCAAATATTTGTCTAAAACGTCATTTATTATATAAAAAAATCAATGTAATTGGGTTAAGAAGACTAGATATATTCATTTTTAAGTTTGAAAATCAAACTCTGTCAAAATTTTAAACAAAAACAAATTTTAATTTTGTATGTAAATCTAATAACTAAAAACATATATATAAACTTATTTAACAAGAGACTCTCAATGCTTGAATTGATAATCTCATTTACAAAATTACAACTTCATTATATAAAACAAAATTATTAAATGAATTTAAAATCATCAATTTTATGTAATATGGAAATATGTTTAATTAAGAGGATAGCTTTTTTGTATTATTTTTTAGAATATCTAAGTTTTAATATTTATTTTTCTCAATTTGTTCGTACTATTACGTTAAATCAAATCTTTCTATATATAAAAGATACTCGTTCTTATATCACTCTTCACCTTGAATTGTTTGCGTGGTTGCATTGAGAAATTTGATTAACAATTGTATTAATAGTATAAATAAACAAGTAACAATATGTAAATGTAGGATTTTTTTATTCTAATATAACTTGAGTTTAATATTATTTATTTATTTATTTGGTAGATTAATATTTTTTATTTCTCCTATCATCAGATTTCATTAGTTAAAAATAATATTGTTAAAAGTGTTTTACTTGTTCAATGAATTATCGAAAAAAGGTGATATAATGCATCGTTTGACTAATAGAAACAATTAAAGAAAGCATCTACAAATAGTATATGGTTTGACTTATATAAAAAATTATTTATTTTAAACTTATTTATAAGGGAATTGTTTATTTTCAACTTATATTATAGCATACTACAACATCACATGGGATTCATTAGTTTACAATAACAAAGAATAATGAAAAGGGGAAAAAAGGCAAGCAAATATCAGTCTAAATAATAATCAATATCTTCATAATTAAATTGCACTAAAATTTATATTAAAAAAACAGTATTTTTATAACTAATATTTAATAAATATATTTCCATCATTTTGAGAATAACTGTGGTAGTCTAAATTAGTACAAACGAATTTTTGAGATGTTAAAAATGGGGTTATATACAATTATTTAAGTATAAATTAGTGTATGACACGATTTATGAGTGTTAGAAGTTGAGAAAAATGTATCTAATAGAGCAAGGATGATACATGGTGCAAATTCTGCAGTTTTGGTGCACTAAAATTATGCATACTCGCTCAACGACCCAGCTCGTTGAGTGAGAGGTTAGGGGGTTTGAATCACTGTCTTTATATTCGCATAACGAGCTGAGTCGCTAAGCGAGAGGTTAGGGGGTTTAGACTACTGTCTTTGTATTCGCACAATAAGTGGGGTTGTTGAGTGAGAAGACTCTATGGTCGCCCAACGAGCTTGGTCGTTGAGCGACTAGTCCAAGATTTGTTTTGTTCTTTCCATACATATTTCTTGATAACTTTGAGTTATGTTTTGATTCATTGTGAATGATGTATAAGTATTTATGAGATTATATGATTATCAATGTTACGTGTTGTGATTCAAAGTGAAAGTATACAAGTTAAATTATGATTTCAAATGGTATGGAAGGAAACTCCAATGAGGAATTTCTCAATGGTGGTTTCAAATGTTGTATGTATGAATATAGTAAGCTTAGTATTGGAGCTCATTCTGACATTCTAATTGTCACTTATTCTCAAGTAGAGAAGGGTAAGACATGTAGTGATAATAACAAGAGGTCTTAATATAGGGATTTTACCTTGGCCTAAGGCGAGTGATAATGAACTAACATTGTGTGTGGTAGTTTGGTGTGGGCTAATTGTTTCACCACAACAAGTGAACGAACTGTCATAACTCAATATTCATACTAATCTAAATGGTCAAGTAAAATGGTGCTCATACACAAAATGTAGTTTGGGTTAATGTACTGTGTGTATCTTAGATTAATGTTTAACGTGTATTAATATAT